TTCTGGTTGCCTCACTGATCTCTTCTCTACTTGGAGCCTTAGGTGTCACTTGAGACATCACGAAGTTGACATACTTCTCTGCGGACTCTGCGATTGTCACACTTTGTATCACCCTTGAGATGCCTTATGATATAGTCTGCTGGATTCAGGTCACCTATCGAATACAACACTTCGAAGTTGAAGGACTGAAATTTGAGACGCCAGTTCTCAATCCTAGCGAAGGCTTTGGAAATAGGGCTGTTGAGGCTGGCTAGCAATGACTTATGATCTGTCACGACTTTGCAGTGACTTCAGAGGAGGTACATACGGAAGTGATGACAACCCCAAGCGATCGCCAATGCCTCATATTTGATTTGAGAGTAGTGCCTTTCCACACTAGAGAGGGCTTTCACGTATTTCTCTGGTGTCTTCATGAAATGCTCTGCTCTGCCATTTGCCTTTGGTTTAGCCTTTGGCTAAAGAGGCGTGATTTTCCGTGGTGAGAACCCAGATGTTCAGCAAAGTTCTTCAACTCCACGCCATTAAAGGGGGTCCATTGTGCTCGGCTTGTGTAGGTGATAACTTTACTATCCTGCACCAACAATCCTCCAAGTCCGACAGGGCTTATGTCGACTATTACTTCAATCTTGAGTCTTGGGTTGAAGTATGACATCACTTAATTCTTGGTCAGGCTATCTTTCAACCTGTCAAATGCCAGTTGCTGTTCGTTGGCCCACTGCCACGATGTGTCTTTCTTGGTTACCGCAGGGTTCTCCTTATCAGGTGGTAACCGGTAAAATTTACCATCTGTAAGAGCACGTATTACCGCCTGCAAACGTTCAGAACCCTTAAAAAATACGCATTTATGGTGAGCTTATCTGATAAGAAAGTGTAATAACAAGCCAACAGTGTGCACTATTATAGATCTACGTGCGCTTCAGTTAGCTAACACTGATTGGTACCTTTCGCATTTCGAGGCAAGGGTGATTTTTCGCGGGCCTTCTGCTAAATCTCATGACATTTGTCAGTTCTCTGCACGTGCCAATGTGGTGTTTGGTTGTTCAGTTTCCACAATGAAATGGCAACAAACAATGCTGTCGTGTCTTTCCAGTAACAAGAGGTCACGAAGAGTGGCTCGTAACCTTTACAAGAATTTTAGTGGTAAACAAAAGAAAGGTTACGTACTAGCGATGGAAAAGCAGCCAATTCAAATAACCGCCCTGACAGCTCTCTTATTACCGGCTGTATAACGAATATGTGAGGACAAAGCTAGTCTTCATCGTGGAATTCTACTTGAAATGTGTGTCAGACAATGGTTTGAAAGAAGCCTTGAAAGTAAAATCTCGAGTCAGCGTAAAGCTCTGAATGTGAGACGATTAGAGCACGAATTCAGTTACTCGATGTGATTCGATTTCATAGCCATGCGATTCGTAGCTGACACCGCTGCTTTTCCAGGGATACGCCATGTAAGCGACGCTTAAGATATCACCCGAAATCGAAGGGAGACCAGTTTACGTTATAAGCAGTTTGGAAAGGGCATAGTCAAATATGAAGCTAGTAAACAAAATTTTACTTTGTTTTGTTCAACCTCTTAACCTAAAGGTGTATCGTTCACATTATTTCGATGGAGGATTTTGATAGACGCGATGTACTATATGCTTTAGCAAATGACAGAGTTGAGAATGACCAGCCGCCTGAAGCTGCAAATGTGCTTTACTGATATGAAAAGGTTCTTTACCTGTTATGCTGAAAAGTAGGGAGAACCCTGCTGGTTAACAGCCGTAGAGGAGCAGTTATGGTGCCATAGTCTGGGATGTAACGAGACTCTTATTGAGCCATACCCATAAGAGACTTTACTTCGCTGATACTTTCTGGTTTTCTTATGTCAATGATCGCCTTGATCTTGGCTGGGTCTGCCTTGACTCTGTTCTTGCTGAGAATCTTCCCAGAGAACTTGATCTCACTCCTCAAGAAGGCTAGTTTCCCCTTGTTCAGGCACACACCATGTTGCTGGAGCCGTTCCAATACGCCATGGAGTTTCTCATCATGTTTGTTCTGAGTTTTTCCATAAATGATAATATTGTCGGAGATATTCTTGCATCCAGGGAGGCCTGTGAGTATTTCCTCGATTGCCTTCTGGGAGATCTCGGATGCTGCGTTAATTCCAAACGTGAGGCGCTTGTATCTTTGGAGTCTGATGTGTGTGCTGAATGTGGTATTGTAGTGGCTCTCTGGTGCCAGCTCCAGTTCGTGGTGTCAAAACGAAAGGTCCAGCTTGCTGAAAACTGTGGCTCTGTTGAGGTCAGCGACCAGATCGTTGACGGTCAGCATCAGATATTTTTCTCATTTAACAGCCTTGTTGGCCTCTCGCATGTCTACACATATTCCCACTTGATCAGAGCTCTTAGGGACTATGACAACAGGGCTCACCCAGAGCATTGGGCCTGTTACAGTCTCGATGACTTCTAGCTCTTCTAATCGCTTTAACTCCATCACGACATCCTTTCCGATGTGGAAGGGAATTCAATGGTGCGGTTGTGGCAGGATATGACGTCAGAGTCTATGTGAAGCTTGATGACTTTTCCTTTTACTTTGCTGATTCCACTGAACAGGCTTTCTAAATCTCCGTTAACGGGGGACGGGGGATTGGTCTCGCCAGAAGTGACTTGGTTGATGATCTTGAGCATGCCAAGTTTTGTGACTGTTAAAACCCAGGAGGTTTACTGAGGTTTCCAGTTAGTTTCTCGACGGCCTTTTTGTAATCTTTGTCTTCACGAACGTCTTGAAGCGTGTCGAATATCTTGTCAACCTCTGGACTGCTGTAGTGCAGCAAAAGGGCTCTTTTTTGTTTGTCATAGGAAATTTCCATTCCAATGGTTTGCCTCTCGAATTTTCTTAGGAATTTCTTCTATCTTGGGCTTGCGCCACAAAGTTTTCGCGGGGAAATGCTTCGGAAATCTCTTTGGAAATCACATCGGAAATCCCTTCAGAACCTTTTGGAGTGCTATCTGTGGGTTCTATGTTTGATCCTCGTCGCCAGACGTGGTGTTTATGCTTTAAAAAAAATTAAACTTTGGATGCAAACACAGCGATATTTAATCAACATGCAAGACGATACCCGACTACAGAAAGACTCTTTTTTTTCTTTTGGACCGCGTGCGCATTCCAAACATTGTGAATGACAGCTGTCAGAAACACTACAGCATACACACGCAGGATGGATTTCTTGCTGGGGTCAAAATAGACCATTACTTCATCCGATGTGAGACTATGCTGGAGTCGCTCTAATGCTGTTGGTGAACATCTTCCCATTTGTATTCAACACCCTTGTGGGTGAGGTCACGCAACGGAGCTACAATGTCTGCATAACCACGTTCGAAACGAGCCACATATTTGGTCATGCCTAACAAGCTGCGCACATGACTCACTGAGGTACGTGCTTCTGCTTGCTTGATTGCTTCCACCTTCGCAGGATCGGGTGACATACTATCTGCAGTAAAGACCATGCCAAAGAACTCAATAGGCAGCTTGTAGATTTGCCGCTTTTCATTCTTCAGAGTCAAGTTCAACTCCTCGAAGCAGGTTAAGACGGTATGCAAGCCGTTGTGATGCTCCTCTGTATCGACTTCATCGATGATGACATCATCACTAATGTTCTTAACACTGGGGATGTCACCAATTGCAGTGGTAATTACATCCTGAAACTTTTCAGCCGTTGGAAAGGGCTGCAGTTCTTCTAATGATGTCAAAATCAACGAAGAAGAACCCTCAATAACACCTAGAAAAGACAAAGTGCAACCACTAATTCGTCAGCAAAGTACATTTTCTACCTCTAAGGACAAAGGGAAAGACGATACGAGTGCCAAAACTATAGCTACGCACATTGTACCTGAAAGTTTTTCAAACTCCGCCAACGTCGCTAACAGCTCAGAAAACAGTACAACGTCAAGTGAAGTACATGAAACAGTGAATGAAAGTGCCGCTGCTTCGACAACGACAACCCAGAAGCACACGGTCAATCTGGATTACGATGCAAAGAATACACCTACGAACACTTTACGTGGACGTTCTGAGACAATGACTGCCTATGTACACTACGTTTCGCCCCTTAAAAGAAACAAAAGGAACACGATCGATTATTGTGCGGTGACATCGCAAACAGGGACAAAAAAATACACAGTCTACACTTTGCTACTCTAAAAGCAAAAGAAAAATCTTCGAAGAGAAAGAAATACTCAGGTCTCCAATAAAGATCACGCGCTACATACCATCTACCGATAAAACCAACGTTGTAATCAATGACAGAATAATCATCACAGCGCCAGACGATCTTGAATATAACTTCTAGTACCCTGAAGCTGACATAATACCACTGGCAAACCTCTCAAGTGACAATGTTGTTCTGGAAGATAACATTACAGTGTGTGCTACAGTAGTGAGGATTTATCCTTCAAAGACTCATCGATCAACAAGGTGGAACCAACACAGTAACGGAAGTCCTTATCCTTGATAAAAGTGCAAATGCATCAATGCAACTAGACTTATGGAACAAACAGGGCAGTCAAATTAAAGAAAATCATGCACAACGATCTACTAGTTTGTCCGCCAGCTTCAGGAACAATATAAGGAAATTAACTATCACATTTAACACAGTAATTAGAGAAAGTGGTGACTAGTTATGTTCTTTACAGTACCCCGATACAATCCCAAGCAAGGTAAATGAACACGTCAATTATGTGTCGTGAATTTACACCATATAGGATGTGAAAAAATACAAAACTTGCTGTATCTGTGGTGAGAGGATCGTTCAAATACAAGAAACTGTAGTTACATGTGATCACTGTTTGCATATGATCGGGGCTAGATAGATGAGGTAGATAGTTTTATTGGCTAAGAACATAGCAGCCATAGGCTGAATTAGTAATAGCTTACAACAACTAAAATATCTAAATATATATATATATATATATTCATATTTGTAATTATATATTATATTATAGGGTCTTTATAGTTTTCTAATTTTATATAACACCTTCGAGATGATGAAATGACTTCAGGATGTTGCAGTCTTCAGTGCCTGGCCTAGACACACCACTCAGTTTCTTTACGTTTTTCCACCAGCTAGACGAGGAGCGGTTTTTAAGGTGTTCAACTTTGCGTTGGTAGTGGTTAGTGTGGCAGATCTTTCGTTCGCGGTTAACTCTGTTCCTCAGGTGACGAAACTCCTCTAGATTTCCCTGATTGAGTTCTGATTGACGCTTCCGAATCAAGTTTTTTAAAGAATAGTTGATCCACGGTGGCTCGGTAATGTGAACGACTTTCGATTGTAAAAGTGTAATGGCATCAAGTCCAGTTTTAACGATTGTTAGAAGCAAGGATATTTTATCTTCACAAAAGCTCGCAGTGTTGATAATATCGGCAACGTCCGCTTGTTCGAGGTATGTCCGCATTGCCGGACGATTGCTGGGTCTTAGATCTCTGAAAAAAAAACAACGTGTTTAACTTGAAGATTTAGGTCGTTCCTTTAGCTGTACTTCAACAGAACAATGATCCAAAAGCCCAAATGCTGGACGCTTGATCAATGGGTCATAATAGGATTTCATGTTAATTAAGATTTTGTGCAATGTATTCCGACCACGAGTTGGAAAGTGGATGATTTGCTTCCAGTCGAAATTTTATTTTAATCTCGAGACATTTAGTTGGTTTAAGTCACCCAGCACCATTATTCCGCTGTTCGGGTGTTAGGACTCAATATTTAACAAACAACTGCATCTACCTGCCCAAAAAAGCTTTACACAAATGTGGTGTTTCTTAATAAAGGTCAGAAAAAATCACTCACAATTTTTGAAGATTGTTTAAAAAGTGTACCGGGTGAATTTAATCATGAAACTATTGACACTGCTGATGTAGTTCAGAAGCTATTGTTTTTTGACAACTCAAACGTTACCAATAATGAACAGGACACGGGAATCGGCGATTTTGAGGAGCGGGATTCGGGAAAAATCACCTAAACGAACCGAGAACTGGAATGTCCGTTGAGAAGAATTTATGAAGAAATTAATCTTTTCAGTCATGAAAAGCATCGGGCATACAGGCTTTCTGGCATTCAAGAGGTGGTCGGGCTGCTTAACGACACTCTTCAGTTATTGCGCAGGAATGAAAATTATATCAGAAACTGGTATAAACCGTGGGGATTACAGGATTGAGGTAAAATTTTTTAGTCGGGCTCGCAGTATTGAAGAACCCTATTTGGGACCCTCTTTTCGCAATTGCATTGACTTTTATGGCGTTGCATTTTCAGCTATTTTCAATAGAGTTACCAGAATGGGTTAACGCATTTTTGAGATTTTAGGCGTAAGAAAATTATGGTAAGTAAGGATTCTTAAGCAGGAAAGATTCATGGTAAAAAAGTTGTTACCGCATGGTAGTATTTAATAAACGGCTCTCAGTCCATTCCGGTCTTGCCCAAAAGGCGCTCTTTGATTAAAAACCTGACTAGTTTTCAAAGAATAAAATTAAGAAGCCACAGGAAGCTCTTAGTCGATCATAAATCTGGTTAGATTTTCCGTGTTTCTGTAACATCACGAGGCGAAGAATGGTGAAAAAAAAAGGGAAGAAAAAGCACCATGTCTTTATAAATGGTTTCACAACATGGGGTGTAATCCAACTGTCAAGGAAATTCTCCTGACATGTCCAAGCTCCAGACAATAAAATTTCCCGGGCAGAATCGGTCACATTTATTGACTTCTAAGTTTTTCCGACGGAAAATATCGACAAGCAATAGTACCCACCATAGTTCCGCTCGCAGTTTTTCTCGCAAGAAGTGATTGGTAATGGCCCGGGCAAATTGGAAAACAAACTTAGTGGAGTCGCAAGGAATACCCGGTGGCGATTTCCGGTGTGGGTTACTAACTCCATTGTCTGCTCGATTCGAGAATATGGATTTTTCTTCGAATACGTTCGCCGATGCGGTAAGAGGACATGAGATAAACGATTGGTGGAGGAAGTACCAGGCAGAGGACGAGGAGGAGGCAATGATAATTGCTATCGAAAAATCACGCGAAATTGATTAAAGGAAATTAAAGGTAACTGTTGTCTCGTTACTGCTTGGTGTGTTATTTTAGAGCAAATCCAGAGAAGGGCAAACTCTGTTGGGCTAAGATTGGCTTTTTTAGTCCGCTAATAAAAAAACAACAAGTAGTTTTAACTGTGACCTCTGTTTGTGTAGGTTGATAGTTCAGGCGATGAAGAACCAACTCCGGGATTCTGCTGCAAGTATAATGAGAGAGCTCTTGGAGCCAGCTCATTCATGTTATGGCTTAAGTTTGTATTGATTTCTTGGACTTGTTGAATATAGGTAAAGTTGAATTCGGTTTATGTGAATTTTCAAGACAATTTTCTTTTATTTTTGGGCATTTGTGTGATAAGAAAACTTGTGCATTCGTCGTGATGGGAATTGGAAAGAGGGTTGCGTGGGCTGGGCAGAGGTCATTAGTCTTTTGTTAGTACGGGTGTGTTTGTGGGGTGGAGGGTGGTCTGTGTGGGCCTAGTCGGGCATCAAATGTTGCTTTGGCAGCAAAATATTAGCAACCCTCATCTTTCACGATCATTTGGACTACTGTGTAACATTCCCTACCCATTTCTTGATATCTTTTGTTTTAACAAAGCGGCCACAATCGTTTTTAATAGAATTTCAAGCCTTCATATAGTCTGATTTTACATATTAATATTTGCGTAGTCACCGAACAGATAAGAGATAAAGCCATTACAAAAGTAAACAAATAGCCAGTCACGAAAACAACGCTTCGCTTTTCCATATAAAAATTCGCCGGTTGCTCATGTAAGCCAATAACAGCATAAAGCACATATGTGAAAATTAGAGTGTGTACACCCCTGAACGTTCAAAACATATCAAGTCGAAGGAACAGTTTTGGTCTCAGTACGCATTTTTATCAACAAAGTGAAGACATATCGATCAAAAATATTGAAACGTAGGGACCACGTGCAAAGCTGTCAATCGTTTCTCGAATATTACGCGTGTTAAATAATCAATAGTGACATCTCATTTACATCTACGTCTTCCCATTTTTTTGTTAATCAAAAGTACAACGAACTTCTCGAACGTGCTTGGTTATCACCAGCCCGATTTCAGCATAAATCAAAACTGTAACAAACTTCTCGAACGTGATTGGTTATCACCAGCCCGATTTGAGTACTAATAATATACATGGAAAAAATACTCAGTTCTGATTGGTTAAGATAAATGCAGTTTTCATGTAATTCAGTGCAGAAGAGAGTAAATTCAGTGCAAAGAAAGTAATGAATTAGACATTCTCATTGGTCAATAATCAAAGAAATTCACAGATAGCCAATCAAATTACGAAATCGAAAATTACGAGCCGACCCAGCTTAACACTTTGCTTGAGCGATCAAAAAAACAAACATGGTTAAATCTAGGAAACGACGATTCCATCTCATCGAAAGTGATTCGGACACAGCCTGAACAATTCCTTGAACTTTTTAGCTGGACTTTGAACTTTTTTGCGCCTTAAAGATGTGAAGATATCATTGCATATTATTGCTTTGATCGTATGCCGTTGTTTTGACCGAACGCACAGTTTAAATAAATTATTTTTGCACTTGATACGCGCTCTTTACTTATGCTTAATTATGATAAGCCATATCGTATTTTTTCATGTATATTATTAACACATAATCACATGATTTTTCTCGTACAATTTCGAATAAACAAGCCCTTGTTAATTTTTTCAAAGACCACAAATTGCACGAGCCCTACGGGCTCATGCAGTTTTGTTAGTCTTGAAAAAAATTTACTCGTGCTTATTTTTTCCAAATTGCACTCGAAATCATGTGATTACCTATACTAATCGGACAGTGTACGCGTCATGCTTGTGATTGGACCGTGTAATAGGATAGTTTACGCGTCATACTTGTAATTGGATAGTATATGAGACAGTTAAAAGGTCAATTCACACGTCATGCCAGAGTAAGTGGACGGAACGCGTCATGCGCGCGCTATTGTCTCGCATTTCGCCGAGTTAACTGTTTTTTTTTACGAAAACATATAACTGATGTCTAGTTTCTTTCCCAAATTTTGTCATAGTTTTGATCAATTGGTAGCAGGACTTCGTGTTGTCCAATTCTGTCTGTAATCGTACTCGCGATTAACAAATCGGACTCCCGCTTCGCGGTCGTCCGATTTTGTTAATCACTCGTATGATTACAGACCAAATTGGACTCCACTCAGTCCTATTACTTTTATTAATAGGACAGTGTACGCGTCATGCTTGTAGTTGGACAGTGTAATAGGACAGTTAAAGGGACAGTTAACTCGTCTTACCTACGTAAGTGGACAGAACGCATCATGAGCGCGAGCTGTTGCCTCGCATTTCGCCGAGTTAACTGTTGACTTTTTTATAAAAACGTTTTTTTCTCAAATTTTGTCTTAGTTTTGATTAATTGGTAACAGTACTTCCTGTCGCCCAATTCTGTCTGTAATCATACTAGTGATCAGCAAATCGTACTCCCGCTTCGTGGTTGTCCGATTTTGTTAATCATTGGTATAATTACAGGCCGAATTGGACTCCACTCGTATTACCATTATAAATTATTAAGTTGGTAACTTCTGTTCAGACATCACACCGACCAACTCGCACGCAAAGTGAGAAGACTATATGAACAGGGTTCTCCCTAGTTTTCAGCACAACAGGTATGGGACATTTTCAAATCAGTAAAGCACATTTGCAGCTTCAGGCGGCTGGTCATTCTCAACTTTGTCATTTCCTAAAACATGGAGAACATCGCGCCTATCAAAAATTCTCCATCGAAAAATTCATAATGTGAAAGATACACCTTAAGGTTCAGGGGTTGAACAAAACGAAGTAAAATTTTGTTTACAAGCTTCATATTTGACTATGCTCTTTCCAAACTGCTTATAACGTAAACTGGTCTCCCTTCGATTTCGGGTGATATCTTTGGCGTCACTTACATGGCATATCGCTGGAAAATCAGCGGTGTCAGCTACGAATCGCATCGCTATGAAATCGAATCACATCGAATGGCTAAATTCGTGCTCTAATCGTCTCACATTCAGAACTTTTACGCTGTCTCGAGAATTTACTTTCAAGGCTTCTTGCAAACCGTTGTCTGAAACACATTTCAAGTAGAATTCCACGATGAAGACTAGCTTTGTCCTCACGTGTTCGTTATACAGCCGGTAATTGTAGAGCTGTCAGGGCGGTTATTTGAATTGGCTGCTTTTCTATCGCTAGTAAGTAACCTTTGTTTTGTTTACCACTAAAAATTCTGGTAAAGCTTACTAGCCACTTTTCGTGACCTCTTGTTACTGGACAGAAACGACAGCATTGTTCGCTGCCGTTTCATCGTGGAAACTGAACAACCAAACACCACATTTGCACGTGCAGAGAACTGACAAATGTCATGAGATTAAGCAGAAAGCCCGAGAAAAATCACTCTTGCTTCGAAATTCGAAAAGTACCAGTCAGTGTTAGCTGACTAAAGCACACGTAGATCTATAATAGTGCACACTGTTGGCTTGTTATTACACTTTCTTACCGGATTAGCTCACCATAAATGCGTATTTTTTAAGGGTTCTGAGCGTTTGCAGGCGGTAATAAGTCCTCTTACAAGAGGTAAATTTTGCCGGTTATCATTCATCAACCTGATCGAGTGGCGCCAAAGGCGAGTGACGTGTCAGCAGCTGATTGGCTTTATCAACACGTGAAAAAATACGATATCTTTTCACGTGTGTTGTAACAGCTATTCTCAGGGCCGGAAATCCCTGTATGACACCACAGTTTATGTGATAAAACATGTTATCACGTATCAGACGAAAAAACGGTATAAAGTCTCAGTCTGCACTTTGTACCTAGTATGCATTTTGTACCCGGTCTGCGAGACTACCGTCCACAGTCCATAATACAACTTCTGTCTGCGGAATACAACTTCCGTCTACGGTCGAAAACTTCGGTCAACATCTGCTTCACAATACCTCATTCACTGCTTTCAGCATGAATGAGCTAAAAAGGAGGACAAGCGTGGTCGGTTAATTGTTCTCTGGCTGCGTTTTAAAATACCTGGTGCAAGTTGGCAAGCATCTTTCAATGAAATAGCACAAACCATAAAGGAAATGTGTATGCGTAATTTGCTGTTTTATACGTTGTGATGCAGAAGTAACCGCTGAGTCGAAGTTTTACTTGATGGAACTTGAATTGTGCAAATTGACTGTTCACGCGAAAAACTGAGGCTTGCGTAGATGCCCAGATCTCGCGCTTTGATCACGATCGTTAAAATACGGGCACGTGAGAAAGGATTTATTTTCAAGGGCGACAAAAATCAAACTTGACTTACTCTTGCACTCCCGCAGCGCGCGCTGACAATTTAGCGAAACAAGAAACCGTCTATAAGAAAAATTACGCATGAAAATCACATTTGACACACATTACAATATTCACTTTAAAATCAGCTTAAACACAAAACAAAAGTAGAGTAAGCTAATTTTTAAAATCTCATTATATTCATAGCTTATAAAAACAACCGTTTCCGTTTTTTTTTTCCATACGAACTTTCATAATTCGAAGGTTATGCAACACTGCTGACCCTCATATTTCGCGCTTAGGCCACCTGCGGTTTATAGCTCAATGGACGGGATAGTACACAAAGGGCCTCGCGCGCCGATTTTCCCCTTCCCCACCATCCAAACGCCGGCCACGTAGGGTATTTTCGAAAACGCATGTACTGCGCTTATTAAAAATGTTTTTGCTCTTTGCCTTAGATTGGCTACGTTCTAAGCACAATATTCATCCTCTTTGACAGAGAAAGATAAAAAGCCTTGAATCTTGGGAGGAAGAAGAGTTTTGCCCAGGATGCCTCAGCTTCCGGTTGGAGGTTATACTTATTTGAGCAAGGCAAGTGATACGTATAAATTTTGACTTATAATACTTCTCTGCTTAAATGGGAGGCAAGTTAAAAGAAACAAAACGAATGGCAATTTGGTAGTTTACTTTGGCGTTGAGCTTGTAACTGCTTTTTGCTCTAGTTCCTTATCTTTTGACTTTTAAAATAAGGAGGTACAGCCGTCTATGAGCGAAGTCGTTGACCTGACAATCTCGCCGGTCAAGATCAAAGTCCCAGTACTAAAGTCCCATTCGCACTGTGAAGCTAGTCGATCCGTTTTCTGCTCACAATTCGGCACAAAAAAGCTTCACGAAATGTTGTTTGCAAATCAAGCACTGCGCTGGCGTTTGTTGCCAATGCCAATTCGCGCGTAGGTACAAATAGCGACACACCATTCGCTTTCTCCCCGTTTTTTCTTCTCGTGGGCATTGCTCAAGTTGGGCGTCAAAATTGTCTTTGGGGGTTAAAATTGATGATACCCATGTGCTACAAAGGACATGGTTCCACACGGGCGGATATGGGGGGGGTTGAGGTGAGAGGCCCTTAAATATATTGAAACCTGTATTGAGCGGACACCCTGTATTAAAGTGAACACGTTAATACAATTATTCCGATACTAACTGCTCTCGTGCCTCGTGTTGAATTTCATCTCATCCCTAAGTACCAAGTCCGTTCAACAGTCATCATCAGTTCGTACTCTCTTGTTTGATCTTTCCTGGAATGCCAAGGAGCTCCAGGCACAATTACTGTTCATTTAAATAACTCTTTACGATTGTTTTTGTTCCCTTTTACTGTCGACATCAGTTCAAACGTTTGCATCTCCGACGTGGACTCCGACTATAATGAGCAATTGTACAATCCCACTTTCGAAGGTACGAAAAAGTTCTTTTTCTTGCTATTGTTATTATTGTTGTTATTTATTAAGATCATTACTATTATTGTCATTATTATTGTTGTTATTATTATTTATTTTCTACAATTTTTTTTACTGATGTTGTAATCGCCTGTGCTGGCGGAAGGTGGTTTCGCGCGCACGCTCTCATTTCTCGCTCGTTGTCAAGTCTGTTATGAAAGCACACACTTAACGCTATTCGGAATGTTTCGAACACGAGATGCAGCTATAAACTTGATTCTTAGTTATTCTTGGGGAGAACAATGTAAAATGCGGGCAAATATTGCTGTTCTCGCTTCTTTTAAATAGGCGACATTTCACATGCTGACTCTACATATATTTCTTATCAGTGGAGGCTCAACCCGTGATATTGACGCTGTGAAAACAAGCAACACCGACTCGGACGATGAAGACAGCAAAATTGGCGGGAAGAAGCAAAGAAAATTACAGTTATAGTGTGGGTAGGTGTAGAAGTGGAAACAGTAGGGTGGCTACCTAGGGCATTGATGACCTGAAGGTTTATGACATAAAGAACTACTGTAATTCAGACGCCCTCGGAGATGGCAGGAAGTGGAAAAAAAAGCTGCCCAAGGACTAGAAAGACCATGGACGTACGCGTTATGCCGATTGCAGTGGCTCATATAAATGTATCAGGGAACGTTGTCCTTTTAAGGTAAAAATATGATGTAATAAACACAACCCAATTCGAAAAAAAAAGGGGACGGCAGACAAATTTTTAAAGGATGTGGACGTGTAAGCTTCTTTGTACCATGTTATGCGAGGAAATACTTTTGTTACGCGGAAAAATGAGTCACAGTGTACCATTACGGCAGACATACCTGCCCAGTTATATTGAAATCCAAAAGTGTGGATCAGTCACTAGGAAACAATCCTAATATTAAGCCCTCGGAAGTACAATCGGTATTTGTACTTTCGGCTTTTCAAGAACAGAAAGACTGGGCAGATGTTAAAAGGGAAGCTGCCTCTGCCATCGATAAGAAATGGATCTCCAACGTAAAAAAAAGGTTAAGAGTCACATAGAACCCCATGGCCATAATTTTGAGGCTGTAGTCTCTTTCAAAGAGTACTACGACAAGCAAGACCAGTTTTACCTTTATAAAATAAACGATCGTAGAGGAGATCCGGACCAGCTGTCGTCCTTTTTTTTAAACAAGTTCTTTAAAATGCAATGTAGCTTTGAACCTGGACTGCACTGGTGACCATTTCGTGAGATCCGAATTTTGCTTTTTTGACGGAAAGCATAAACGTTGTCAGGGTTTCGCCACATTGAACGCCAGCGTCTACCATCCCCTCCTAAGAAAGCAAATGACGCAAGCCACTATGGAAGCAGAAAGTGAAGATCATACAAACGTGATATTGTTTTGGAATCTTTTGAATGAGTGTCTACGTAAGGTGTCCTGTGATGGTAACTGTAAATTCAATCCAGTTGGATGGTGTACGGACATGGCTGGGGCAAATTTGGCAGGACTGTCAACGTTCGAATTAAGGCATGTGAGTTTCCTTTCAAGGACCACCGAAGTAAAAACGCTAGAAAGTTAGATACCGATAGCGCAGCCGAGTTTATGACCCTTTATGACAACCTCTTACTCAGCGCAACAGAAGCAGCATACTAGGAGTCATCTAAAGCCGAGATTGAGGAGTTTTATTGCAGCAAGGGAAGAGCAGGCGTTTTTGTCATCTCGGGTCTCGTGGTGGCACGCAAGACGAGGTTTCATTTTTTGCGCATTTGCACCACGACACGCACTGAGAATGAATTGAGCAGAGGTCATTCACACTGGGTGGGTGTACAGGGACCGCCCTAATTTATCGATGCTCGATATTTGCCTTGCGGACACTCGAGACTCTTTCTTTCCAGACATTGAGCTTAAAGATTGTCAATCGGTTGCTGCACCAGGTGGGAAAGGCCCATCTTATGCCGATCGGAAAAAAAAAGAAACATGCTCGTGATGTCAATAAAGCCAAGCGACTGGGCCAGGAAATGTTCCCTGATGAGGAGTGCACCTCATAGATCCGGGACCATCGCAATGTCCTTGACAGAATCAGCGAAGAGGCAAAAATCCGAGGCTAAACCGAAACAGCCGTTGTCGCAGCATTCGTCAGCTACCCTTTCTACTCAAAAGCACCGTAATCCTATATCATTACCAACTTCGACGGTAAATAACTCAACATCAAACCCACAGTATGGCGGTTTCCTAACCCCACACCTTCGGGCAGTGGAGAGCACCTTCAGGAGCACATTACTGTGATGGGCTCCTGGCACCTTAGAGTACCTCTTCCAAGTTGCAGCTCCTCAATTTCGCCACAGCAGGAACTGGCCTTGCATCAAATAGGTGCAACTGCAGAAAACTTGCGACATGGCGGTTTCGTGCACTCATCATTTATAATGGAAGCCACCTTACGTCACCTATCCCTAGTGGGAGCAAGTTAACTTCCCTATATAGAGCACCACAGCCAGAATTAGCCTTTCAGCAAACAACCCCAGTAGCTCCACAGTATCCTTTTAATACCGTTGTAACGTGGCATTCAGGTATGTGGCTACACAAATACGCAGTAGTGGTCCTGTAGCCATACGTAAAGAATTGTGACGGTTGTGGAAGTTCGTTCGCTGATAAATACAGGAGCTCTCCTCACAACTTTGTTGTCAACCACGTAGATAGGAGAATTACTGGAAAGAATGACTACACAGGGAAGTCGCTCTACGGCAGGGATTTCTCAACACATATTACCACTTCGTAAAAGCCACATCTAGAGTAAAAATCCAGAGTACCCAGGAAGTGTTTACATTTCAACAGCCCTGTACCTTTCGGGTTTGAACGAGGAACAGCGTGTTCTGTTACAATCTTGTGACTTAGATTTACTCTTTCATTAGAATCGTACAGTGATTCTTTTTCTCAAAAGTTACTTAGAACGACTCTGGCCGTTTTCGATGAAAATATATATTGCTTTTGATGACGTTCCAGTTTTTTAAGACCCTATTGTTAAAATGTTTCCTTGTTAAGTTTCGCGGTAAAACGAGGTAAAACGTCATAAGTGAAACTGCAAGCACAGTTCTGTCACTAGTAATGCAGACAAGCAAAGGAAAATACAATGTTTTTTATTGAAGTGTATTTTAATTAAATATGCTAGGTGTTTTTTTAATGAGTATATTATGCTGCCAAGTTTGATCTCAGTTGGCTAAGAAAATCAAAAGATATTTGTAACTACAGATGAGAGAGAATCGAAGATAGCTATAAGTTAATAAACACATCATAATTAATGTTTGAATTGTCATTGTCACCTTTCGTTGATAGTGCCAGAAAATTTCGATGGGCTTCTTGGTGCAATATAAAAAACTTTTCCCGAAACCATCAGACAAAACATACAAAGATAAGAAAGGTTCATCCTTTGCCCAGGCAACCAGCGAGACTACCTGTTTCTCGAAAAAGTGCCAGGAAACTCAATGAATTTCATAACTTGTGGCTGCGCTTGTTCGGGCCCGCATTTATTTGAAGAATAACAGAGTACCACAAGGACGATGAGAACAATCGTGATAAGATAAATGGCAGGGGTAATTTGGTTTCATGGAAAAGCTGGATTAAGGATCACCGGATCAAGGATCACCGAATCAAGGATCATCGGATCAAGGATCAGTTCAAAATGAATCAAATAAATTAAATAAATCAATAGGCGTGATTGATTGCTGATCTACGTTACTCAGTCCCCATATGCTAAAGCAAAGATAAGAGAAAATACTAAATACTGAAAAAGCCATAACACTTTGTGGAAGAGTCAATTTTTGTCGATAGCTTTAACAGGGGAACCGCACCAACGGTTAAGCATGGTGCGCAAAAGCAGTTCAAAATGAATCAAATAAGTTAAATAAATTAATAGGCATGATTGATTGCTCATCTACGTGACTCAGAAAGTATTGAAGTAGAGACCAGACACATCGAGTTTTGTCCCAATAGCGTGTGATTTGCAATAGGAGTAAAGCAAGAAAATGGTCGAACTCCGTGAAAATGCACGCTGTATATTTTGGTCTGGCGCGCTCGCTTTTCACGGGCCAAAATAATTATTTTTACATGATTAACACGAAGAATCTCGCCCTCTAATGCTGTGCGATCCTGATTTTTGAAATACGGGTACGTCATATATGTATAAATGATATATCTTGTTTTTGATATGAAAATGATCCGTGATAGCGTTGTCTTGACCAATTGCAGGTATTCTTCATGTTTGGTTGTTTTTTTAAAGAAAGATTTTATCATTGTAGCTCTAATATGTGTCACTAACTTTGAGTCCTTTGCAGGTTGCGTGCTTTGTACTTTTCCCGTCATAGAAAGCTTTTGTATTTCCAAGTTAATACCAAAATCAACCCAAAAAACTACTTGTGTGCGATTCTTGACAATTTTGGCCTTCTTAATTAATCCAATCACATTCTAATTTAATTTTGCACACACTGCATTACATCATGTTGCTTATACATCACGTTGCATATGTTGTTTAAAACTGTACAATTATTTTGAATTTTATTCAGGGACTTCTTTCCGCAATTGTTACAGTTAGTTCAACTACTCCTAATCAAAACGAAACGAACGACAAAATATACGTTGGTCATAGCTTTTATTGCATTTGGCGGCTCCAAAGGAAGCCGTCAACTTTCTCTTCACCTGAATTCAGACTCCCTCTATAGTGTGGAGGGGGACAGGGAAGCGGGAGCCCGGGAGAACAGGGGGCGGAAGAGGGAGGGAAGCGGGAGAACAGGGGGCGGAAAGCGGGAGCAGAAATAAATAAGGCGATTGTTTGTTGTATATTGCTGGTTTTACTCAGTCAAAACACTTATCAAGCAAGGTTTTGAAATTTCCATTTAACATCCAGCGATGCTTAAAAGAAAACTTTGGAAGAAAGACTCGGGCTTCAAAAACAGCATTACTTCCGGTGAATTTGGAAATTCCTTCAATTTATTACGCCATAGGTCATGAGATAGCATGACACATGAGACATGTACACTTATACTTCAGTGTCTGGTAAGCTGTAGCTGTCAAAAATCATCAGTAAAGAGAGCGATTCAGGGTCATTCAGGTCAGATGTTTTCAAAGACTATTTTGATCGGCCTCAGTATTTTTCGTTGTGGCCACGAAAAATCCGTCCATGGAAGACTTTCTTGGGAGCTCGCTCTGTGCGATTGCACATCCCAAACTACTGAAGATTTTGCCTCGTAGTGCAAACTTTTTCCAAAGGAGCGCCGCTCCAGTGGGTGCGCCGGAGAGTGCAGAGTGGTTTACTTTTCGACGCAATTTTTTTATTTTGGACAAGGCTGAGGCACTTCCCATTATGATAGAGAGTCAAACAGTATGGCAAGCCATCAGATTGGATTTTAAACAAAATGGTAGCAAAAGATTACCAACTACATGATAGGTGTGATTTCTTGTGTTGGTGGTATTAGGCACGGTAATTTGACATATTGGCAGTTGCCAAAGGTGCGCATTACATACACTTAAATTCTCTCAAGTAAAAGATCGCCACATTTTTCAACTTTTGAAGTGGGACGATTTGGGAGAGGAATCACCACCAGTATGTTTCGTTCTGGTGAAGCGCTGTCAAATGAATACAGAAAAGTCAGTCAATGATTAATATTGCACAATCTGGAGAACTAATGCAATGGAGTGTAACATAGTACAACATAGCACAAATCAAACATGTACTAACGTTGTAGATATGAAAAGATATAGACCATAAATGCAAAAATGAAACCTCACACTCACAAGAGACCAAATGGTTTCTCAAAAATGAGGTGGCCTGTACAAAAATATCAGATTTCACCCGCTGGCCCAAAAATTCTTGTGTATTCTTGTGAAAGGTTATGAAGCACACCATTTTTTAATTGAAAAAGCCCCCAATTGACCGAAACTTCTAGTCGAGCTGGTGAAAGACACAGAGGACATGAGTAAATTGTATGTCGTTGATAGCCAGAAAGGAACGCTTGCTGAAGTTCGTCTTCATTACCCAGCGTCAGTGAAAGTAGCAGCATCTGGTTACACCAATCCTATAGCAGTGGCAATGGTTCACGGAACTGTCATTGTTACCGAGAGAATGGGGATACATTTACTGCCTAGACCTGGATTCCAAGTTGTAAGTTTAGTTTGGGGCAATGAAAAGGCAGAGATGGAGGCATTTGTCGCCAGACATGAAGTACACGTTGATTACGAACATGGCCAACATTATAGCTAAGAAGAGTTGAAATCTGCCATTACTGTTTTTCTACAGAGTAACAAGAAAACTGTGACCAGCAAGGGAACAAAGCTGGACCTGGAACCATGCTTGACAACACTGGTGACAATGACCAGCTATGCTGATGAAATTCTTTTCATTGCTGACACTGGGAACAAGAAACTAGCAGAAGTAACAGTAAAGAGGGCTGACTTTAAGCCAGAGTGCATTGTGCGAACGGTCATGAACCTAAAGGAGAGGGTCAATCCGACTGGACTGTGTGTCGTTGAGGGCCAGCAAAAGTTGTTGCTTGCTGACTCCGGGACATCTGGGGGCCTGGTCGTTCTAAACCTAAAAACGGAAGTACCTTGTGCAGCCAAATTCACGGAGTGAGTTTGAATTGTCATTCAGTCATTTTCACAGAGACCACAACCCACACTTTGAAACGGTTTTCTTTTGAAGCATCTGTCCTAGATGGCAGGAAAGAAGTGGAGAAGGTGGACACAATAATTGGTGATGGCACGAGTGGAGCAGAGGACGGGTTCATCGATGTAGCAAGAGTGTCCTACCCAACAGGGATAATTTCTGAGAGGGAAACAATATTTTTCGTTGACACAGACGGCAAAAGTGTTAGGCTTATTACCATGATATCGACTCTGATAAAGTATATTAGAGTAATGGAAGACATTTATCGTGCTTTCCATATTCATTCTGATACTCTAGGTCATGCCAAGTTGCCATCTCTCTTAAAAGCTGAGCAACGCATTGAGAAAGCGGAAAAAACCCTAATGCGGATACCTCAAAACGCCAAGGCCAAGTTTAAAGTTTCATCAAGAACTTCCTTAATCGCCTCTGAACACGATTAAGTAAAGAATGTCCTCATCTGCTCGAAGTTGTTGATGTAGGAACATTTCTTACACTCGTTAACGAGTATTTCAAAGGCGAAATGCGACAGTTAACAAACACAAACCACACTGCTGAATTGTTGGATGAACTTTGTCAAGGCAGCAGATAAGAACCTAAAGAGAATTGCTTGGCCTGGATATATTTGCTTCACTCGGGAGAAACAACACTATGAGCTACCACCACAGTTTTCAATCAAGAACGAAGTCTTGCTCCCTGTGCCACAAGAGTCAACTACGTTCCTGAATAAGGAGGACATCCATCAAACAGCTTAACGATTGAAGAAATGAATTTGAACGAGGGGTCAGGCAACAGTCTATGCGAAATTCTTTCACGAAAGACAAAACTGGCACTCTCCCCTTATATATGTACACCTTGGCGGATGCAAACGACAGCACCGAGGAACAAGCTCTCACATCAATACAGGAGCTTTTTAAGGCTGTGAGTTCTGGAAAGGAGGCAGATACATCGATGCATCCACCAGGCAATAGCTACAGAAGTGATGTAGAGCCCGTGCCCTAGCCTGGACATGATCACATGACGTATCAGTCATCATTTACTGAAACTTACGCAATCAAATGCAAATCCAACTTTTTCTCCATCTTCATTTCGTACAATAGACGCATATGATTTCTTTGGTACTAAATATGGGATTATAGATAAAAGTTCTTTTCTCAAGGCAAGAAAACCGACATCCTTTGGGGCCGTGTGAGCCTTTAACACTTAAAACAGCTAACAAAGCTTGTCAGCCCCAATTTACACTCGATTATTAAACGGCTGCTTTGAACTCTCTGAAGAAACATTCATAAGATGCTTTCAGACTTTTGAGGCGAATGTGACATTAAAACAGATGAAACTGAGGGAAAGCGAGAAGTTATCTTGACCTGGCGGAAGAAGAGGCTCTAATCACAATTTGGAGTTGGAACAGTTCAGTGTGGTCTTCCCGGCGCATGGAACCCTTCTTCTAACTTTAAAAATTTCCGTGGAGGTTTAAAGAAGATTTCAACCTATTGAACAAATCTGATAATCAGTCGAACAAGAAGGTTCGGTCATGCTTCACTGGCACTTAAAACTGAACGCTCAAAATGCAAATGGTTCAACAATTGATGTACTCGCTAAGACTAGTTACTTACGTCAAAAAGAGAAAGCAAGCACGGATGCAGGAGAAGCAAACTCTGAACATTACGTTTGCCTCTTGTTTTTTCTTTATTTGATTTTGAAATGCCAATAGCTATTACATTACACAGTGAGCTGAGACTTTCGTCTCTACAACGAGATGTCAAAAAAAAACGGTCAAACTGTGATAACCCGGTTAGTGAAACTTACTTTAATTAAGAAAACTGACCTGTAGTAACTTTCATCAGGAACCAATGATCCCCCCGCCAAAACAAAGGCCAGAAAATGAACAAGAATGTTAAGTTTTGGCACATCTTGAAAGTTAAACCTGGGTTTCTGATCCTCTTGATTAACCTGAAGACGGGAGCAACACAATGAAGGGCAGAAGTAAGGAGGCAAAGGGGCACAAAAGTACGGGAGGCGGGAGAACCTGGTACGGGAAGCGGGAAACTCTGACTCCTATGTCGGACTGCCGAGTGATATGGATAAAAGCCATATGTTATCTTTAATCGAACAAAAGATGCGTGCTGACGACAGGAAAGTGTGGTTACGTCATCTGGAGAAGACAAAACAGCCCACTACGCTTAACCAGCTGATGACATGGATGACAGTAGAAATGAAGTCCCAAATGCGAGCAACCGCACCCCTCAGGACAAGCCGTGTATCCCTATCAGTTCATAATGTAAACAAAGTAAACGATGACGGTAAAAAAACTCCCCATTACAAGTGTTGGTTGTGCAAGAGTCTGACTCATTGGCCAGATCAATGCCAGAAATTTGCAGCCCTAAATGCCGATGACCGCCTCAAAGCTGTGAAGGACAACCAAGCCTCTTTTAGCTGTCTCAAACGAGTGGGAAGAGATCATAGGCTTTCAAACTGTAGTCAAAGAAAAACAATGTACAGAAAAGGAGAACAACTTTTAATGCTCGTGGTACCATCATTCTCTGTTACATAAGAGCACAGACCTACAAGTGAGCATATCTTCAGTTACCGACAATCAGGATGCACTGCTCCCTGTTATCACTGCAGACATCAGTGGACAAACAGGACTGTACAAGCGTGGAAATGTACTTTTCGACTCAGGAGCGCAGATTAGCTTGATCAGTATGGAAACCGCAGAGAGCCTTGGTTTGGAAGGGAAGAATGTTTCCATTATGATAATGAAAGTTAGTGGCGAAGAGTAAGAAATGAAGGCAAAGGAGTTCAAAGTGCAACTAACGTTACCAAGCAACAAAAGAGGTTTCCTCATAAAGACCATTAGAATTCCGCGAATCAGCGATGATGTATCGGCAATCATAGGAAAAGCTTTTACAGAATGTACATGACTGAAAGGAAAAAGGATTCACCGAGGTACAGGACCAGTAGACCTTCTTATTGGAATAGACCATGGATGCCTGCACATTGGTGAGACCAAGCAATCGGGACATCTTGTAGCCAGAAACTCACCTCTTGGATGGGTAGTCTTCAGAGCCGCGTCAAGAAAGATTCAGCAGGCCAATAGTGTCCTTCAGGTCAGTTACAGCACTCCAGTTGACCTCTCCAAATTTTTGACCACGGAAGCTATGGGAGTAGCTGTGAAGCCATGTATTTGTTCAGCAGACAAATTAACTCAGTTAGAGTTAGAAGAAACAAGAATAACTCAGAGCTCGTGCAAGAAAATGAGGAGTCAGTGGACGATTCCATACCCGTGGAAAGCAGACCCAAAGCTTCTTCCCGACAACAGGTCTCAAGCATTCAAGAAATTTGAGGCAACAGAGTGCCGATTATGAAAAAATCTAGAGAACGCAGAGGCATACAACCAACAAATACAGGAGACAGAACAAATGAGGTTTTCAAGGAAGCTGTCAGAGAAGGAACTAGCTGAGTACAAAGGACCAGTTCATTACATTGTGCATCATGAAATTCCACGACCTGACAAGAAAAGTACCCCGGTATGAATCGTATTCAATTCATCTTCTGTTTATCAAGGCCACAAACGGAACAACTATTGGTTGAAAGGTCAATGGTCTCTTTGGAATCTTACTACGGTTTACAGAGAACCAAGTAGCTATCAATGGAGATATTTCCAAGCTGTACCACAGAATCCCAATCCCATTAGAAGATCAGCGCGTACATCGTTTTCTGTGGAGGGAAATGAAGACAGATCGAGAGCTGGACACCTGTGTGAAGACCATATTGACTTTCGGAGACAAGTCAGCTCTCGCCATGGCGCAAATAGCGTTAAGAAAAACGGCAGAAGAAGGAGAAAGCCCTCACCTAGCGAAAACACTGAAGAACAATAGTTACATGGAGGCTCAAGAGCTGACAACCGGAATTGACAATGTACTGGAGAAAGGTGGTTCTCTTTAGACTGAAGAAGAGATTGCTTGCTAAAAGGAAACAGGAGGAGATTGAAGAAAGTCTAGCACTGCTTACAGCTCAAGAGCTAGAGGAGAGCAGGAAATACCAAGCAAAGATGTACAGAAGAGCCTGCATAGTTGCTTTAAGAAAGACGACTTCAACATGCTGAGTCCCTTCATAGACGACGAGGGAATAATCTAAGTCGGAGGACGTACGGACAAGGCAATTGTGTTGTACAAAACGAAGCATCCTGCGTTACTGCCACATGACCATGAGATATCCCGTCTAATCACACAGGAAGCCCATCAATGTGGACACCCAGGGGTGGAAACAACAGCAGCCAAAACGAGAACAAAGTACTGGATCTTGCAAGTTCATGAGCTGGTGAAGACAGTCAAATTCAAGTGTATCACTTGCAGAGAAATGGAGCCAAAGACAGAAAAGCAGATTATGGCCAACTTACCTCTTCACAGAACAGCACCAGATAGCCCGCCATTTTATTACATGTCGTGTGACTACTTTATTCCTCTAACTGTGAAAGTTGGAAGAAATAAAACAACAAAGCATTATGGAGTTATTTTTACTTGCCTGAAAACCAGAGCTGTGCATCTTGAAATAGCTACTAACTGCACCACCACGGAGTTCATTCAAACACTGCACAGATTCTTCTCCATCAGAGGGTACCCCACTATGATAATGAGAGACAATGGAACGCAGATGGTAAGCCCTCAGAGGTGCGCAAGATGATTGAAGGCTGGGACATTAAGAAACGTCTAGAGTACTGTGCAGATAAAGGCATGAAAACTCCAACAGCCCTACACCAGAATGGTTGCGCTGAAGCACTGGCGAAAAGCTGCAAGATTGGTCTTAAAAACAGGATTTGTTGCCGAGTGTACAGGCAGACTATGGGAATTTGAAGGCAGCACTCTGTGAGCGGTATGTCCCAAAGGAACAGAGAGGGCTTCACAAAGCTGAGTTTCGTGCAAGGTTTTGCGAGTGAGATGAGAAGCTGCCAGATCTCGCCAGTTCATTGCGGAGACTTGTTGGGAAAGCATACCTGCAGGCGGTTACTGATTTGCACGACTGCCTAGCAAAGGATCAGTTCATTGATGCGTCGAAGGATCGGGAAATACGGATGAAAATCCGAGAATCCGCCTCAAAAATGCTCGATGAGGCTATAGTCGAACCTTGCAGATCAAGGCAATGTACAAGGCTGAGTCTTGGCGCACAAAAGGTCGATTGTTGCGATCAAGAGGAGAAGAGCGAATTTGCAGAACTCCTGAAGCAAAACATGGCTGCCATAAGCCAGATGGTTCAGTTTGTGTAGAGACAGCACAACCCCCAACATCGAACGAGAATGAACGTAAACAAAATGGTCGGGGATTGGGGCCAAATACTAAAGATCACATAGAACGGCCATTACATTGCTGAGTGTAACCAACTGCCCAGGGATCAACAGGGAAACTGCCAGTGATTGGCACAGTGAGTCAAGTGTTGGTCAGGGAGAAGGGAGAGACCTACAAAGTACCGGAGAAGGATTCAAATGTGAAAGTAGAGAATTCGTCTCCAAGAATTCATAGTGTTTCTAGTTAAAATGCCGTGTATGTGCCTGGGCTAGTGGGAGGGCAACCTATTAAGATGTTGTTTGACACTGGGTCGGCAGAGACTCTTGTACATCAGCGGGTACTTGACAGGTCCTCTAAAGGTTTTAAGTTAAGCTTCGTGGGTGACCCTGTGGTTTTGGCAAACGGCCAACCTTTGGATATTATGGGGAAGTGTGACGTGCTTATTTGCAATGATAGGGTAAGTGTTGTTCAATCGGTGTTAATCGCTGCAGATCTTACGTAGGACTGTTTGCTAGGAAAAGATTTTCTGGGAAAACATGCTTGCAAAATTGATTTTGAAGCCAAAAGAATTGTAAGGTAAAATTGTTAAGGCATAGAATGGCGTGAAGAAAGCTTTTGAGATAAGTTTGGCGGAGACTGTTGTTGTTCCTGGATGGCATGAAATGGTTTGTTAGGGTTAGTGGAACCATCTCCAAGTTTTGTTAAACAACACGATCTCTTATTTGCTTGTGTGTTATCTCGCCCAAAAGACAATACAGTAAGAATCCCCCTGTTTAACCCATCGCCAACTCGTGTGACCCTGTACCTCAGTTGGTACCTTTAGCGAGTTAGAAGAAAGTGTCCTTGACCCAGTCTAGTGCAACCACCTCAAGCCTACAGCACCCTCCCCTAAGACGAAGCCAAAGATGTCCAGCAAATTTGACTTTGACTCCCTGGATCTGATCAGTAAACAAAGGACTGTACTGAAAACGTTGTTGCATGTGTGTGCAGACATCTTTTCAACGGCACCCGCAGACCTGGGTAGAACTGGTGTGGTAAAGCACCAAATTGATACAGGAGACTCCCCTCTGATAAAGCAGGTACTAAGGCAGGTACCATTGGACCAGCAGCAGGTTGTACACCAGCACGTGAAAGACATGTTGCAGAATGGGATTGTACGTCCGTCTTCTAGTCCAAGGGCCTCACCAATTGTCCTGGTCAATAAGAAAGGTGGTAGTACTAGTTTCTGTGTGAACTATTGTAAGCTGAACGACGTGACCAGGAAGGATCCCTACTCTCTGCCACAAATAGACAAGACTTTAGATGCACTAATAGGTGCAAAACTGTTTAGCACCCTTTAATCTCAAGTGATTGCATTTGGTCCGTGTTATACATCGGGTACATTCCAAGGGCTTATGGAGTTCGTCCTTTCTACCCTGCAGTGGCAGACATGCTTGATCTACCTGGACGATGTCATTGTTTTTGGATGGGACTTTGAGGAACACCTGGGGCGGCTCCGAGAAGTCTTCGAATAATTCCGCCAGGCAGGTATCCTATCTTGGTCATGCGATCTCCGCCAAAGGGGTGCGTAGCTATCCACACAAGATCAGAGCAGTAGAGCAGTGGCCCATCCCTGCCGAGGTGTCAGATGTAAGAAGCTTCTTGGGTCTTGACTTGTACTATCACAGGTTCATTGTAGACTTTGTAGAGATTACTGTCCCTCTCCACCAGGTGGCTGGAGTTGTTAGCCCAGTACCACTACAAGATTGAACACTAATTAGGAAGGAAGCACCAGAATGCTGATGTCCTGTCCAGGAATCCCCTCCTTGCTGCTGAGGAAGCCGACCTGACAGTCCAGACCAACGTAATAGATAGCAATACCAGCACGTGGTCACCCAGTTGGACAAGGGCTGACCTGCAATCCAGACAAGCAGCAGATTCTGACCTGAAGCGGATTCTGGCCTGAAAGCAGAACCAGACCACCCAACCAGCTTCGTGAGAGATACGAGGACCCAGCAAAGAGACTAAGAGCCTATAGGCGCAGTGGAACAGGTTACAGCTGAAGAATGGTACCCTTTACCGCCAGTGGGAAACCAAAGATGGTCATGGTACCCAATTGCAGTTAATACCTCCCAGATCCATGGTACCTGAAGTCCTATTCGCCCTTCACAATGCAGCGTCAGCTGGTCACTTAGGGGTTAACAAGAGCTTGGAGTAAATACGAGAACACTTCTATTGGTATGGTCAGCAGCATGATGTTGAAGACTGGTGCCGGCAGTGTACCAATATCCTGTACGCAGACCTTTCAAGGTCTTCGAACCTTATGACTACCAGTGGTGAAAGCCAGAGGGAAACTACTGGCATGAAGTTGGAAGTGATGAGTGCAAAAACAAAGACCAGGATTGGTTTTTGGAATGTACGTACCATGTATGAAACTGGAAAGCTTGTACAGGTTACAACAGAAAGGAGACAGTATAACTTGCATGTATTGGGCATAAGTGAAAGCAGATGGATAGGGAGAGGGAGATTAAAGAAGGCGTCAGGCGAGAGGGTAACTTGGCAACTATTCTGAAGAAAGGAGCAGATAGATCGCTGTTGGAATGGAAACCTTTCAATAGTCTCCTCATAAAGGCCAGGCTGAAAGGAAAGCAAAATAACTTGACCCTGATTCAATGTTACGCTCCAACCAATGATAGTGAAGATGATGTGACATACAATTTATATCTCAGGCTCCAGGCAGAGATTGAGTAGGTCCCAATGCAAGATCTTATCATCATCATGGGGGATCTAGATGCCAAAGTTGGTGCCGATAACTCAGGCAGTGACAGAGTGATGGGAGGACACGGGAGTGGCATCATCGATGAAAATGGAGAAAGGCTTGTTGAGTTTTGCACAACTAATAATCTGGTGATAGGGGGCAAGGATAGAAATCAAATTGACCATCTGTTGATCAATGAAAAATGGCGGAGATCCCTTCGGGATGTCAAGGCGAGGAGAGGAGCTGAGATTGGAAGTGACCATAATCTTGTAACAGTCTGTTAAACTGAAATTAAAGAGTGCAGGGCGTCTAACCAAGAGGCGCAGCCGTTTCGACGTGAGCCAACTGAAACACCCAAATGTGCGAAAACCTTTTATCCTGGAGGTGTGCAACAGATTTGAGGCTCTTGTGGAACTAGACGGAAGGGAGGATATTAACGATGAAGGCATGAACAAGAACTGGGAGAGAATTACTACTGCTAACAATGATAGCAGCAAAACATGTCTAGGTTGCAGGCAGCAGAGGCCAAAGGAATGGATGTTATCTGATACCTGGAAAGCAATTGAAAGTAGACGAAGATTAAAGAAGAAACTGATGGACTCAAAATCCCAACAGCTTAAAGAAAGACATCAAGATATGTATTGGGCAGCGAACAAAGAGGTGAAACGCCGAACAAGAGCAGATAAACGAGCCTTGCATCCCAGGTGGAGGAGGCAGCTGCATGCAATGAGCAAGGAACAGTGTATAAGGTCACCAAGATTATAACAGGTAAATGCCATACAACCAAGGTGCTTGTAAAGGACAAGAACGGTATCTTATTAACATCAGAGAGAGCAGCAACGGCACTGGACGGAGCACTTTAGAGAGCTTTTAAACAGACCACAACCAATAGTTGTGTTAAACATCCAGGAAGCTGGAACCGACCTTGACATCAGCACAGACGTTCCAACTAGGAGGGAAATCATCTAAGCCATTAATTTCCTGAAGAATGGAAAAGCTCCTGGCCATGATAATCTAAATGCCGAGCTGTTTAAAGCAGACCCTGAGCTTGCTGCACCCATTATGACCTCCTTGTTTACAAAGATCTGGGAGCAGGAAGAAATTCCGATAGATTGGAGCAGAGGATTGATAGTTAAGATATCAAAGAAATGGTCTCTAAGTGATTGTAACAACTGGCAAGGAATTACCCTTTTGTCTGTGCCGAGTTAAATCTTTTGCAAGATCATTATACAGCGCATCACCTAAGCTGTTGATGATCTCCTGCGGAACGAGTATCTGGATTTCCCGAGGGACGTGGATGAACGGATAATATTTTCACACTGTGGAACATACTTGAGCAATGTACTGACTGGAACAGGGAGTTGTATATAAATTTCATCGACTATGAGAAAGCGTTTGACAGCATTCACAGGGACAGTCTTTGGCAGATTCTGAGAGCGTATGGCATTCCACAACGCATTATTAATATCATCAAATGCTTCTACTCAAATTTCACATGTTGCATCAGTAAGGGAGATCTAAGTTTTGAAGTTAAAACCGGTGTACGGCAGGGAAGTGTCATGTCGTCCATGCTATTCAATATTGCTATCGACTGGGTCCTTTGTTGAACAATGGAAGATCAGCAAAGAGGCATAAGATGGGCCCCTTTTACTATACTCGAAGACCTTGACTTCACAGATGATTTAGCCGTATTGTTCCACACACAACAGCACATTCAGGAAAAGACAAACCGACTCAGCATCTTCAGCAACCAGGTCGGCTTGAGAATTAGCTTTAGGAAGACGGAGGCCATGTGTGTTAATGTACCTTCACCAACAAAGATCAGGGTAAGAGGACAGGACATTCCATACACCAACAAGTTCACATACCTCGGAGGTGTGCTCTGCCGAGATGGGGGTACTAGTGTAGATATACAAAGCAGATTGGACAAAGCAAGAAATGCCTTTATGAGCTAAAGATCAGTGTGGAGGTCAGCAAGCTACAGCACAAAGATGAACCTTAGAATCTATCAGAGCTGCGTATTGTCAACTATCCTTTACAGCTCGGAATGCTGGCGAATGACAAAACAAGACCTCTCAAAACTAGCACCCTTCCACACAGTAAACCTAAGGAAGATTCTGAGAATCTTCTGGCCTCAGAAAATATAAAACGACCAGCCACTGAGGCAAACCAAGCAGGAGGATATTCGTACACTCGTCAACAGGAGAAGATGGAGATGGATCGGTCATGTGATGCAGAAGGCTAGTAACAACGTAGCCAGAATTGCAATGCACTGGACACCTGAAGGAAAACGAAGCAGAGGGCGCCCGAAAACAACCTGGCGCAGGACAGTAGAGAAGAGACTAAGGGGGCTCAATTACAGCTGGAGCACCATTGAAAAACTGGCTAAAGATAGACAGGGCTGGAAGGATTTCGTTGCTGCCCTATGTGCCACACAGGCATGATGGGTGGTAAGATAAGAGAAACAATGTTGCGTACCTAGAAGAAAATATGAACGATTATCTAAGTAAAATTACTGAATGGTTATCGGTTAATATGCCTCCAGCATTGGCATCTTGAAGAGAAGCAGATCTTTTGTTCCTTTTGAAACGCTCCTATGCATCTCTAATGCCCTAGTTCAACCTCATTTTGATTACTGTGGTGTCGTATGGGGGAATTGCAATAAATCTCTTTCCATCAGACTACAAAAACTACAGAATCACGCTGAGCGTATTTTGACCTCTTCTTCATATGATGCCAATCCGGATGATCTCTTTGTTAGACTAGGCTGGCGAAAGCTTAATCTTCAACAAGAATTGAAAACAGCCACTATGGTATAAAAATCTCTTAATGGTCTCGCCCCTGATTATCTGAAATCAATGTTTACTGACCAGAGTGCAATACCTACCTATTCTCTTAGGAATTGTGCGGGCAAACTACCTGTTCCACTCCTCCGCACCAATTTTGTAAAAAACAGTTACAATAGTGCGGTTATGTGGAACAGCTTACCTACCAATCTGTGGTAATCACAAACTATTGCTACTTTTAAATCCAGCTGCAGGGATTTCCTTTTTGATAATAAATAAGTTAACTAACCACACGGCATTCATGAAAAGCAGGCACTTCGTTATTGTTTTTATTTTATTGTTATTAGATTTAATTAGTAGTAGAATAGTATCTTAACAATGTAATTAATGAAATTTTAGTAATTACTTTAAGTCCTGAT